AGTGTTTGTAAGACACTTCACAAATAATAATTACCAAAAAAATAGGCATAAAACAAATATGTAAATGGAAATGTTATAGCACTATTTGCAGGTGTTGAGCTTCATTTTGCAAGGTCAGCAGTTCAAAACCACCAGCCGTTCCAAGGGAGGAAGACGAGGAGGTCTCAGAAACCCACAGGGCAGTTCTCCCCTGTCCTATAGCGTCACTCTGAGTCACCATCAATTCTTGGCAGGACGTACAGTCTTCGCATTTTAACTGTACCAAAAGCCTAAATGCCCATCAATAGATGAATGGATACACAAAATCTGGTACACAGATAAAATGAAATATGATTGCATCATAAAGAGAAGTGACCTTTCGGATCCATGCTACAGCATGGATAGGCCTCCAAAACATCGTGGTTTGTGAAATATCAGTGATACACGTGTATCAGCCGAGTTTTTTAGCACATTTTTAATGCAGTTTTTGTGGTAAAATTAGGTGCCTCGGCTGATATTCACGTCTGCTTATACTCGAGTATATACAGTGAGTTAATGACTAAAGACCAATTATTATGTATTCTTATGTATCTGGGTATCTAGAACAGGTAAATGCACGGAGATCTACATTTATTTGTGATCCCCAGGGTAAGAAGGAAGAAAAGGAAGCACATTGCTTTCGGTGGGGGGCACCGAGCATCTGTTAAGAGTGATGGAAAGTTTAGAAATAAATGTTGGACACCAACATGAACATGCTTAAGGTCACCAAATGGCACTTGTGGAAAGTGTTGGAATGGTAAATATTTTGCTGCATGTATATTTACCATAATTTTTAAAATTGCAAAACGCCAAGAGGTTCTAAAAGCTGTGCTATGGGTCATGATGCATCGGAATACACTCGATGGCGGTGGGTTTGGGTGTCATCGTATGCTGCCTGCCGAGGTGACATAGAAAAGGTCCATTGTTGTGGCCTTTCAGCGGGTGGTCTTGTGTGCTTGTAAATATCCCACGTGGGTTGTTTGTCAGACCTCCTGCTTGCCGTCCACACACAGTCCGCAAACCGACACCTACCTTTGTGCATCAAACTCTCCCTTTACACTCAGAGATTTAAGAAGAACAGGCTTTCCCACATGGTTTGATATTGCGCATGAATCACCTGTTGTTACTCTGTTAGGTGACTCGTGGTGGCTCTGTGAGACAGAGGAGCGCAGTCAGACAACACTGTCTAGTCTTTACTGGGGCAGATTACTGGGTCTTTCTTCTGTGGAACTCTGTGTGGGTATGAACCGCCAACCTTTTGGACAACAGGCAAGCACTTAACCCCTGACCAACCAGGGTTTCTTCTCTTTTCTAATAGTTGTATTGCTATAAAATTCACATATCCTATGCTTCCATAGTTAAGTCCCTTTTAAAAAGAGTTGCATATACATCATCACAGTCAGTTCTAGTGCTCCTTCCCCCTCCCACATTCATTGTGTGCTCACCAATTCCCCTCTCCCTGCCCACCCCCACCCCCATTAAACCATTGCATCAATTACTGTCTCCATACATCCACTCTTCTGTGCTTCAGAAACTGGGAAACTGAACAGAAACAATAAAAAACAAAACCGTAAAAAATAATAATATTAATATCAATATAAAAATAAAGAATAAGAAAGAAAAGAGCACCAGCAAGATTGAAAATATAAATCCAGGGAGGAAATGTCTGTGAAGGAACAAGCAAGAGAGCTTTAAACTTAGAGCAGATTCAGGTTGGGTCAAGAAGGAGGTCCCCTAAAAAGGTAGGTGGTCGTTTCATCCACCGTAGTCAGGTGGATGATAACCTGTGTCTGACAGCAAAGCTGTTCTAGCCCCTTGCCTGTGGCCAGACGGGATCTGCCAGAGACTGCATCTGACTGCATGCTCTGCCTTCGACAAATTGGGTGGTCACCACTTAAGCTCTGAGCCTTTTCCCTTCTTCATATTTGGATTTTGTTATCACCGTCTTTGGATCACACGGGCTGCTGTGCTTCTTCGATGTGGACTTAGGTGAGGCCTCACTTCGATGGCTGCTTGTTTGAATTCAAGTCTTGAAGACACCAGACACTATCCCATTCAATAGCCGGGCACCATCTGCATTCTTCACACTTTGCTGTAGCACCCTCATCTTCACTGACCTCTTCATGAAGGCAAGTATCCAGAAGGACACGCTGTAGGAACGAACTCCGCTTGGATTGGGGCTAGAATTAAGTGCAAGCGCAGAATCCATCTGCTTATCCACAAGTTGTGAATGACTCTGGTTTAGTTTAGCAGTCATATTAACATATTATGACCAAAAAGCCACATTAAAAACCACAACAAACAAAAAAGAAAAACATTGTCTGTCATCCCCCTAGGGTATAAAGCGATTGCATTGCTAGCATCAATAATTTATCCAGTGGCATAGAATTTAAGGCACTGTTGAGAAGAGGGGTTTATACGAGTATAGTCCAGCTGCGAACTGCAATCCATGAGTTGCTGCTTTGTACAGATGGGATTCTTAAGTGATTGAGCTCTATTTATACTGAGCATGGCAGTTGGCACTAGTGAAAAACTTCCTGCAACATTCATTACAGGGGCAGATCTTTGGCTGTCCAATTAATACCTGTCATATTAATGCAAGGGGGGGCATTGAGATAGTAAATATATGGTGTTTCTTGATCTCCTTTAATTGGACGCCCACTAAGCCAAGGGTCCGACCCAAGGTTCAACCACTGCCATTTCCACAGTCTCGACGTAGCCATCATTTGCTCCCTCTCCATCAGGGTACTTCAGTTCTAAGTCCAAGTGCCACAGGTAGTTTTGAGGTAGGGCCCAGTTCGTTCAGTTGGGCCTCCACATTGAGTCTTTCTGGTGGGACCTTTGGGGATGCCATGTTCTTGTAAGGCCAGCATCTAAGGTCAACATCACAATGCTTAGCTCATGACATGTTCACCAAGGGTTGGGTAGAAACTTAGTCAAACGTGTCCACCCAGGAACATAGAACCAGGTTTACTCTCCCCTTAGGTTCCCTATAATTATTGTTTAGCATCCCTTCCTGATGTAAGGGTGTTCCTCCCCATTTACCCACCATATCCACCAATGGAAATCTCAGTGCCTCCTGTGAACTGTAGATGCTCCCCGGCTTGCTACCAGGGTTTCTTGTAAATAATCCAAATGATCTATAATGTAACTGAGATTCTGGTGCAAGGGTAAAAAACACTGATACATTATCACATGAATTGCCTGTCGAGGCTGCTATGTTTGTGCGCACATGCCAGCTTGAACTTTTTCTGGCAAAAAGGTCATCAGGAAATCTCAGATTCCCATCATTTCCTTTCATCCTTCTCATCCTAATTCACGTCATCCTCTTCACCTTCATGTTGGTTCCTGCCTGTGTGCATTTTCCCCATTCTGTCCCCTAGCCTCCTCTGTGTTGCGATTTGTACTGACTTCATCTCCAGGCTATCTTGCTGGCGGTTTCCTAGTGGGTTTAGCCAACGGAAGGCAGGTGTTGGAAGATGGCTATTTCTGTCCCCTTCCCCTAGCTGTGCCTGCCTCCTTCCAACCACCGTTCATGTCAAGTGGCCTCTGCTGCAACAATCCAGCTCTCACTGGCCTCTGTAATATGAGACCAACTGATAGCCTGTGGATTGGGCTGGCATTAAGACTCTGACCAGTGTGGTCAACAGTAATTAGATAGGCAAGTCAAATGCTTTCTTCCGCCAAGTCTGAGCTGAGATAGACTAAGGGAATTACTCAAGAGGTGGAGTAAAGGGAGACAAAAATACCCAAAGACAGCAGGCAATGAGAGAGTGACATGGCCGGACTGACGATGGACCACTGACCAGTCATGCAGCAATAAAGTAATGGTGTCCCTTAAGCCAACTATTAGCCTGCACAAGGTTTATTCTTATCTCCTCTTCAGATTTCTAGCTCTTCTCACCCATCTACTAACTGGTGACTCAGTCCACTATTGGGCACACATTCCCTGGACAAGACTCATTTGACGGAGTGGACATAGCCTCCAATTAGAGAGAAAGGACTCTAGGCTAGCATGAGCCACATGACCTCCTTACCATTTTATCTGCATGTACTCTGACCATCTCTTCATGTTAACATCAACATTGAAGCCTCAGTAACCTTTCCAATCATGTAAATTAAATTCTTTAAGCTCCTTGTTCAAACCCCACTGATGGTTTCCCATTCTTTGGGGAGAGTGACTGACATGTGCCCATGAGGTCCACCTGGTTCCCTCTTCAGTCTCAGCTTGAGCCACGTATACCCTCAGCCTCTCGGGTCCAGCCACATCGACTGTCTGAAATGTGTCCTGGTCACTGTACTCCCTTCTGCCTTGGGTTTGTTGTTGTTACATGCCATAGGATTGATGTCAACTCCTCGTGATCCCATGTGGCCGAATAGAAGATCACTAGTCTGTGATCTTCATAAGAGCAGATTGCCAGCTCTCTCTGCGGCAGAATCACCGGGTGGGTTCTAGCCATGGCTTTTCAGTTAGCAGCCAAGCGCTTAACAACTGTGCCACGAGAGATCCTCAGAGGCTCTCCCTTCAGTCTTGGAAACTCTATAAGGCAGTAGCAATCTGTCCTGCACAGTGTTGCTAGACTCATAATCCTCTAGGAAACACAATGCAACTTCCTTCGCCTTTCTTCCACTCATCTCAAAACATTGCTTTCTCAGAGCACTCTGCCTGACCTCCCTGACGGACTCCAATTCCCTAGAATCCCCTTTCCCCGTTCATGGGTGCAATTATTGTGTGATTCGCAGATTAAAATCTGCCACCAGGGTCCATGTGTGATGTCTCCCATACTTTGTCTACTGCCTCGCCCACAGAAGACCCTCAAGTATTTATTAAACAAATGAACAGTTTGATGTCTACATGCATTACACTGGGGAAGCTCTTCTGAAAGTGCCAGTGTATAGTTGTCATGGAGCAAATGACAATAGTAACAGTGGGCAAGCGACTGTTTCTTAGGCAGGACAGCCACACCGCAGGAGGCCGGACTATGTGTGGCTGCACACACAGCACGCAGGACCAAGAGCTCCATTTGGAAAGGGAGCCCAGTCCTTCTGCAGGCCTGGCATCCACCTTATCACCTAGGAAAATGCCCAAAAGGTCAGTGGCACTCACCCTTTTTTACTGAGTTCCTTTTAGCTGGTGGGTACATTTACAAAGAGTCCGTGTCAGCAGCTTAATAACCAAGATATTGCACCTTTGATATCTATTACGTCCCCTGAAAATCCACCTTAAAACTGGATCAGAAGAAAACAAAGGGGACCGATTTGACTTTGATGGCAAACTGAAGGAATGATGCGATGAACACAAATGTCTTTGCCTCTTGAGAAATATTTATAAATCAAAATCAGTAATGATTTTAACAGTATAACATATTTTTTCAACTTATCTACAACAGAGAAAAATTGCCTCCTATCAATTGAAGGTGTCAAATTAGTCCTAATAAATGAAAAATGTTCTTTCTCATATAATTCTATTTAGGGGACCAATTTTATTAGAAAAAAATTTCCCCAAACACCTAACTAGTAGTAAGACTTCCCTAGGTGAGGGGTGGGTAATAGAAGTACAGCCTAGACTAATGGAAGAGAGGAGAAATAGATCATGGCAATGTCAGATTGCACATGCCTTGTTACATGTATCCATTGTGCAAATGAGAAGGTGACATAGAGACAAAGAAATCCCTTCCATGAAGGACATGGTAATGGTGCAGAGTTTTAGAAGATAAAGATGAGTTCAACAGGCAGACACTAAGGGGCCCAGGAGACCATGATTCAGCCTTCTACTTTTACATATAGGAAAAGCAAGCCCCCACCCACCCTAATGTGATCCTTCAGCTAGTCGGTGCCAAGATCACATTCTGAACCCAAATTTCCTTTGAGGAAGTGGTCCCCCAAATGACCAAGTTCTGATTTCTATTGACTTTCTCGAATACTACCCTAGTCATAGAGGGATGAAATCAAGTGAACTTTAATTTGCTTTTTCTAAGGAAGCAAGTTTTATCTCTCTGCCTCCAATCTACCCAGTCCATTTGCAATCTACTTCTCATGTAGCAAGTGGAATCATTTTCCAAGTCTGCTTGGAAATTTACTTCCTCAATGCCTTTAGAGAAGCAACCCGAGTCCTTCATAAGGCGTCAAAGACTCAGCATGCTTGCGCCTGGCCCTTGACTTCTATGTCATACTCCACCACTCTTTCCATCTTTCCCCAGGTTCCAGCTCAGGCTACATTGAATTAACTGCCTTTCACCATGCCTTGCTTTCTTCCATCTCAGTGCCTCAACACATACTCACTATTCCTTCTGCCTGGAACACTCTTCACCTGGCAAATATCTACCAATCCATTAGGTGCTAGTAAATGTCATTCCCATGACCTATAGACTGGTTTATTCCTCTCTGTCCCATACGTGTTTGATTTCTGTCTTATGCTTCAGACTAACATCGTAGAAAGCTGGGAGCATTTACTGATGCATCTTCACCCCTCGGAATGGTACCTGGTATTTTAGTTAAGTAGGCTAATCTCCTGGAACAAATAAAATTCAAAACCCCACATTATTTTTTGCTTTGTTCTTTTTAAACCATTTTATTAGGACAATTCAGTAGTTGAATCAAATCAAGAAGTGTTGTCCAATTGCTTCCATAATCAGTTTTCAGACATTTTCTTCATTCCTGTGCTCCTGGTTATTAGCTCCCCATCTCCCACCCCCAACCTTCCCTGCCATACCACACCCCCCACAGGAACCCTTATCTAATTATTGTCTCTCCACTCACCCATCCTGGGGGGCGGGGCAGAGGGGACATAGGCAGATGCATAACAGACAGTCAAGAAGGCAACCAACAAGAAAAAAATACAGCAAAGATAAGCCCCTGTTTGAAAGAAGAAAGAAAATATTAAAAACCAGAGCAAATTCAAAATGTGTCCAAAGGGAGATCAAATGATAATGTTTTCACCATTCACGACAGCTTTTTCATTATAACCCGCTATCATCATCTCCACCAATCTCAGTGTCTTAAAGAACAACCAGCAGCGTGTTTTTGTTTTCCATGCCCCAGCCCAGCTGGTGGGTATCAGGTGTATGGCAGCTCTGCTCCATGGAGCCGGGTAGGGATCCAGGCTGAGAGAGGCCTTGCCCCTTTCACCGTGTGGTTTTCCTAGTCTGGTGAGTCCCATCTCCGTTAGCCAGAGGTGGAAAAGACCATGGAGACGTGGAGATGGAAGATGTTGGCTTCCTTTCAACCCTTTCCTTTGGAGGGCTTTTAGTCACATGATCAAAATCCAACTCGAACCGACTGCCATCCAGTGGAGGCCAACTGATAGGAACCCCGTGGGACAGGGTAGAACTGCCCCTGGGAGTTTCCGAGACTGGAACTCTTTGGGGGAGTATAAAGCTCTGTCTTTCTCCTGCGGAGAAGCCGATGGTTTCGAACTGCTAACCTTGGAGATCACAGACAAACTCAGAACCACCTGCCACCAGGGCTCCAGTCGCATGCCCACATACCTGCAGAGAGGCTGCGGATATGAGGGCTGGCAGAACGGCCTTGAGCCAGGCACTTCTTAATCACGTGGCAAGGGGAGAAAGCCTTTTGACAAACAGCTCACTGTTCCACCAGAATACTCAACAGACAAAACGAGTTCACTTTCTAACAGATGGCTATAGAAAAGAAAGAACATCACCCATAGCAATGAGCAACTTCAAAATATCATCTACATCAGGCCAGTCAGAAAGTGCTCTGAAATTTTTTTTAGAAAGCTGAAAAGATAGGGGACAGGGAAGCTAGGGCACTTGAAATGGCCCAAGTAAAATGGAAAGAGAGAGATGGAACACTGTGAGAAACGTAAACAATATGACTGAGTTATTTGTGTGGAAATTACCACATAGGAACTGAATTTGCTGCATGAACTTTCAGCTTAAACAGATAAAATACGGTTTCATTTTTTTGTCTTTATATTACTCTACTTTGGGGCACACAATCAATACTCAAGCTCATTATGTTTTGTTCACTTTGTTGCAGCATTTCCATATCTAAACAACTGGCTTCGATTAAAGGTAAGGAAGGCATGGGGTGAGGGGCATATGTGCTTCTATTCAAGCAGGATGGCATATCAACGTGAAAGCAGTGGGACATCACAGAAGGTCAGAGATGTAAGGGAACTTGTGGGAAATTAGTCAAACATTCGTAATGTTCCTTTGAAAGATCCGGTAACTGAGGTCCACTGGTAAGAATTAACTTAGCCGGGCTACTAAAGGCAGCGTTAAGAGCAGGCATCCCTTGACTCCTAAGTCAGTGGGCTTCCCTGGAGTCCAAGTTCCTGCCCAAGGGTTGCATCCTCAGTATGCCCAGGCCAAAATATCGGACTCTTCAATGCTCGAGATGCAACCAACAGTGTGACCAACTCCCAAAGTATGACTATTTGCCCTTGACATCCAATTTTATAGGAAATGAAATAACAGCATTGCCATAGAAGTAGCAACATAAGAAAGAAAAACACACATATGAGAATGTTTCAAAATGTGTGGCTTTGAAAGTTTACATAGTACCATGAGCCGACTGCTGTCCATTTTCTAAACCCATCCAGCAAAGCTATTACTATTTTCCAGTTGCCCTTCCTTTCAGGACCGCTGGCCCACTCTCCAGAAGAGACTCTTGAAATTTGTATTTTAATAAATCTCCATCTCCTGAAAACATGACGATTTGTACTCGATAGCAACAGGACAGACCAGCGTTTCTTTCTCACAATGTATACAGCAACATCAAAAGCATTTGATAATTGTTCCATCCTATTGCTACCACCATGTTTCCCAGTCAGGACAGTTTTGTAATGGAAATATGTGAGACGGACTGAAGTCTTGGATTAATGATTTGGGTACTGTTCACTAACCCCCACCCACCCCCCCACCCCCGCCAGATCTAGAAGAAGCCAGTCAGGACCAGTTAGTGTTGAGTCCTCCCTGGCTCACAGTGACCCCGTGTGTGTCAAGGTAGAACTGGGCTCTGAGTTTTCACAAGTAGGTTGTTAGGTCTTTCTTTTAAGGAGCCTCTGGGTGAACTTGAACCTCCACCCTTTCAGTTAGGAGGCAAAAGCATTAACCAACTACACTCTACAGGGACACACAGAATGAGAACAGGGCTGGTGAATAAACGCAAGGATAAGTGAAAAAGCATTACTACACAGGTTCTGGTTCACATATAGGTTTACTGCAAACAGGACCCGTTTAATCATGTGTCTGTGCTCAGGGCATGACTGCAGACAATTCTGTCAGTGACACGTGTCTCAGGCTCCTGGGGTGCCACAAAGCAGAGGTCCGTCAGAGCAGTGGCTTGTGAGGAGCTTTGCTCAGAAGGTGCTGGTGAATGAAGAATGCCAAAGGAGCCGTCCTGATGGAGGAGCCCTGCTAGGGCGACGCCTAGGAACTGGGCTGCTGACCTCAATTCGAAACCACCAGCTGCTTCTCTGGGGCTGGGGGGGGTGGGGCGGGACGGGAAGGTGTGTTGCAGGACATGACCGTGGGGAAAAGCACAGAGGTGCTTCTCCCGCTGGATCCTGACGGGTGAGGTCGCTGTGAGTCAGAACTGACTTCCTGGCAGGGAGTTGGCCTTCGTTTCACTCTCAGACCCGATGGCTCTTTCTTGAAGGACACGGGACAAATGCAGGAATGATTAGGAGCCGTTTTAAGAACATTGAAAATGTCATTGGTAACCAAAACAGCCAGGAAAGGGAGCTGAGGGGGTTTTCCCATCACCGTCAGACGGGCTCCTTCCTGGAGGGTGTTGTAGGCGGGTGCCATCGGTCAGCACTGACTCCTGTGGGGAGCAGGGGGTTTCTATGAGACTATCATTGGGGAACCTTACGCCATCCCCCCTACAGTCCCAATCTTGCTCCTTCGGGCTATTTGTTGTTGTTCTTGAAACGGAAAGAACATTTCAATGGAACACAATCTCGAATCCTCCTGGATGCCCAAACTGCTGCTTGGCGTGAAGTCCATTGAGGTGCGCGGGATCTCCGGGCAAGAGTTAAGAGAAGTGGACACAGCACCTTCCCAGGTGTATAGACCAAGGTGGAGGATGTGTCAAGACATTTTTTTCAATAATAAAAAGTTTCTATGATTTTGTAGCAATCCTCTTGACGTACCCTCATGCTCACCAATAAAAATGTGTTGCAGGAATCATGCTTAGAGAACCTCACATGGTTTAGAATTATTGTAAATAAAAAATGAGCTAAGAAAAAGCCAGAGAGGGAGACATCAGTAACTTGGCTTACCAGTGTCTCCTCCATCCCCATGCCAAACACAGGAGACCTGGTAAACGATGCCAAAACAGACACATCGGTCCCTGGAGTTTTGACGGGTACTTAGCCCTCCACAATTCCCATAGTTGCTCAAAACTCGGCAAGGCAGGCAAGCCAAGAGCTAGGAATCAGCGTGCCAGGTTCATAGAGGGATGAATCCAGCCATAAAAACAGGAAACCAAGCTTCTTGCAAAACAGTTGCAGTGTCAGTCGTAGAGCAGAGCTCCTTGTTATCTTATGATGCTGAATGTTTTCTGCTTCTGTCTCCACCGTGAGCATTTGCTGTTTTATAGTCTAGGGTGGGCAGAGTGAGGATTCATGCTGTGTTTTCAGCAATGAAGTGGACACCAGGAGCTGCCCTTACAGGGAGGTATACCATCATGGCCAATGCTCCCTTGGGCCTTGAGGTCAGGCAGACCTCTGATCACTCCTCTGCCACTTCCTACAATGTAACCTTAAGGATCTTAATCTCTCCTTGCATCAGGGCCTCAGGGTCGCAACTACCTCCATAGGTTTTTCGAAAGGTAGATCAGATTATGCGGGGAAGGACCTTGCACATGGGAAACAGGAAAACAAGGAGACGGGAAACTAGAATACAGGAAATAGAACAACCAGAACGCAAAGGAAAGGCAGATACATTGAGCAAAGTGCAAACGTCACTGAATGATTTGTGTACAAATTTTCAGACTGGAATTGAATTTACTCAGGAAACTTTCACCAACATAAAATGAAAAGGCACTGCCATCTAGTCCAACTCCCGGAGAGCAGAGAAAAACTGCCCTGCGGGGATGCCCAAGTTCTAGATCCGTACAGAGCAGCTTTGCCACATCTTCCTCCTACAGAGCACTTGGGTTAGCAGCAGCCAAGATGTTCGACCACTGTACCATGAGTTCACCAAAGACACCAGAATAAAATCTTAGTTAAAGAAGGCAGGGAGGTACTGGTGGAGAGATCAGTGGAACAGACTAGAGAACTCACAGAAGTACACAAACAAAGATGCCCAACTGAGTTTTGACTAAAATGAACAAGCACTCCGCTGGAAGAAGAACGGCCCTTGAAATGAACAATGTGGGAGCCATCCAACTAGAAAGTCACCTTGACCTAGGTTTCATCTTATAGAAAAATGAACCTCAAATGAAGAAGAATTAAATGAATAACTTATTTGGCTGCAAAATATCTAGCTATAAAACTTTTAAGGGGAGAAGGAGAAAGTTTTCTTTAATAGAAAAAAATAATAAATTGGGTGTTATTAAAATGTAAAACATTGACTCTGTGAAAAACCCTATTAAGAGAATGAAATGACCAGGTAAAGACTGGGAGAAAATACTTGCCAATTGCCTAGCCTAGGTTGAGAGGTAAGGAACTCCCTAAGGTCCCAAAGCACGCAGGGCATTGTGGTTGTTAAGTGCTGTTGAGCCAGTTCCCACGCAACTACAGAACACAGCACTGCCTGGACACGTGCCATCCTCACAATTGTTATGTTTGCGTCCCTTGCTTCAGCCACGGTCTATCAGTCCACCTCTCAGAGGGCCTTTCTCTTTTTCAATGACCCTCCACTTGACCGAGCATCATGTCCTTTGGCAGGACTGGTCCCTCTCGACAACATATCCAAAGTAGGTGAGAAAAAGTCTTGTCCTCCTGGCATTCAAGTAGCATTCTTGCTGGACTTTTTCCAAGATAGATTAGTTTGTTCTCCTGATAGCCTGTAGTACTTTCAATAATCTTTGCTAACATCCTATTTCAAATGGATCGAGTCTTCAGCTGCCTTCTTTATTCATTGTCCAATGGATAATGAGGCGGCTCGGGTCAGGAGCCCCTTAGTCCTCCAAGGGAGCCATCTGAATTCCATGCATTGTCATTCCTTCTGGGGGAATTTTGTTCTCTGTTGCTTTGTAAACCAGGATCCGACACCACCTGGACACACTCCCAGATGAACCCGAGCCCAGGGTCACTTGGATGTACACCCTCCAGCCCTGTTCCCCACAGTGCTCTTGGAAGATACGGCCCCAAATGTGGGGAAGGGCGATTTCTAACCAAGAATGCATCTTTGCCTGTTTCTTCTCTCATAGCTCTTCGGAAGAGCTCAGATCTGGAAAAAGCGATGGCCACCATTGCTCTGATATTCAGAAATGCTTGTGACGCTGATGGTAAACTTGGAAAAGCTAAAGCCAAATATCTGCTGTATACTCAATTTGGGAAATTTGCAGAGGTAAGGAAATGAGCATGCCTGAAGAAAGGGTGGTGACCCCGCACTGGTTGGTTCAAGAGTCACAGCGTCAACTGAAGGCAACCTTCACGTTGTTTTGCAGATGGCTTATTGAACACCTCCCAGAGCCAGGCAGTGAACCGGGCACCAGGGTCAGTACAAGGAACAGCTAGTAACCCAGCAGAGTAATCATCTATCCTGACAAATAATTAGAAATATGCAAAAGGCTATGGAGGAATAGAAATTAGACTGCGGATGAATAGGACAGTGGGACTCTCCTCAGGCAGTGATCAAAGAGGGACTTCTAGAAGGTTACATTAGAAGCTGAGTTCTGAAAAATGAGCGGGAGGTGGCAGGTGAGAAGATGGGTCTGTCTGGGGAAGTGGCATGGAACAAGGCCCAAAGGCAAGTCAAAGAGCTGCTTCCATTTGGGCAAGAAGCGGAGGGCAGAGGAACTTGATGGGAGATGAGGCTGGTGATGTAGTGGCTGACCCATGGGGCTGCCAACTGAAAGCTCCATGGGAGACAGACAAGGCTTTCTGTTCCTGTGCAGATTTATAGCCTCCGAAACCCAAAGCAGTAGTTCTGCTCTGCCCTACAGGATAGCTATTAATAGGAATCTCCTCGACGGCCCTGAGTTTGGCTCTTTGGGCGTGAGGGGAGAGAGGTGGATAGAAGCAAGCTCTTATAGAGGGCTAGCCTGAAGGCCGGGGGAAGCCATCCATTGTTTCTCCTTCCAGGACTAACCAATAACGCCGGCTATATCGTGGGCACCAGACTAGGGCAGAGGGGGGCACAGAAGAAGGGAGTGACTGTTGGAAAGAAATCCCCCCAAAAAGGTGATGATGACCTCAAGCAGGGTGGTGAAAATGGAGCGAAACGGAAAAATCTGAGTGGCATTTGGCAATTAGAAAAGAATCTACTCATAAGTTGGCATTCAAGGGTTGAAGGATAAAAGGGAGCAAGGAATAAGAATGGATGGAAGTAGCAAAGCCAGCAGTTCAAAGCCACCAGCGGCTCGAAGGGAGAAAGACGAGGATTTTTACATCTATAAAGAGTTACTGTCTTGTGAACCCACAGGGACCGTTCTACTCTGTCCTAGAGGATCACTGTGGGTCAGCGTCCGCTCAATGGCAGTGAGTTGGGGTTTGGTTGTGGAATGAGAAGGGGACGTCCATTAGGATGTGTCGATTTCAAGATGTTCTTGTTACCCTCAAGACATTCAAGCAGCAGCAGGATTTGTGAGTTGAAGGGAAAGGATGGAGGTCTGTATTTGAACTACAAAATTGAGGGTTCACAGATGCTCCCTAGAGTCAAGCATAGAGAGACGTCATCCGACATTATTTGGATGTGCGATCAGGAGAGAGCAGGCCCCGGGAAAGGAGACCACCTTGGTCAGATAGAAGAGGAAGACTACCGAGGAGATGGATTGATGCAGGGGCTGCAACTATGGACTCATGCAAAACAGCCGTTGTGAGGATGGTGCGGGGCCAGGTGATAGTTCATTCTGTTGCACGTAGTCGGGTCACTGTGAGTCGGAACCAACTCAACAGCATTTGACAACAACAACGAAAGGCGTGCTCCAAATCCTTTCTCAAGGCAAGACCTCTTTAACTTCAGTCAGTAGAATGCCATCTTCAGTATTTCTCTATATTTGCCTATCATTACTCAGAATGTTTTTTTTTAACTCTTTGCTGAAAAAAAAGAGGGTGTTTTATAAGGATACTTCGTCACCTTTTCGCAGTGTAACCCCGGTCGGTGCAACTGGAAAATGAGAGTAAAAGAAACAAGGTAGATGACTGTGAACTCGTTTTAATAGTTATTCTGGTATTTCCTAAAACTGCATTCAACTTTGCCAGCTATCTCTGTCCGTAGTTTGGGAAATACTGACCTGGGGGAATGTCTAAGATTAAAAGGTAGCTTCGTGTAGAGCACACATCCCCACTATTGATTGGCAGGCAGAGCAAGGAAACACTTAAAAGAAAGATGCTGCCAAGGTTCTAGGTGTGGGCTGAGATGTTAAAAAAGAAACTATTGTTCATTTTTAAAGCATGATTACACAATAATTGTGGGGAAAATCCATTATCACTTAATCCCATGTTCCTGTTCTTGGAAGAAGCACGCCAACCTATGTGATCCAAAGATTGTAAATAATAAAATCCAAATCAGAAGGAAGGAAAAGTATGAGCTTAAATTATGAACACTTGGTTTACAGAAGGCTACGGGTGACAGCAGAAGCCCAAAATTCATTCTCTGGGTCCACACCTGGTTCAGCCTCCAGGGAAACCCCTCTGACCATAGTCCAGGGCTGTAAACAGCCTTGCTCTCAGAGAGCCTTGTAAAATCCATTACGGCAGATGAGGTCAGGTGAAAATTTAACACTGTATCACTTAATCTCCCTTTTGACCCATGTTTAAGTTGTTTCTGTTTATAATATCTTCTGCTTTATTTAGATTGAGGTTTTTCTATGTTTCATCTAGTTCTTCTTGATTTGGGGTGGGTGGGTTGTTTCCTGTGTGTTTTTTTATGGTTTGCTGTACATGAAATCCAGGGGTAAATGTGGAGGTAGCAACAATGAGTACCAGAAGAAAATGTTCTTAAGGTGATTGTGGTGATGATTGCCCAAAATCCAGGGGAGTAAATTGTCTGCTACATGAAGCAGATGTTAATAAAACTTTTTTTTTTTAGAAAAAGAGTAGCTAGCTATCTTTGGGTGATAGAGTTTTCCTACTTTTTAAAAATACGTTTTCTAAGATTTCCCAAGTAAATATGCATTACTTTTTAAACATTTAAAAAGACTATTTTAGGTGACATTTTATGTGAGATAAAAAGGTTTGGGGAGTCTTCAAAGAAAGGCGGTAAACATTTCTTCTATGCTGTAACCCCCATGTTGGAGGCCTGAACCTGTAGCATTTGCTGCTCCAGGTCTCACCTGGTAGCCTGGCAAATCTTCAGTGAGCTTTCAGCAAGTGTGGAAATAAGGGCCGAGGGGATCATTCACCTTGATTTCATGCATCAGCCTTCAGAAGACCCCAGAGGGAAGATATTAAAACCTGAATTCATTAGGAAAGATACCTTTAGCATTCTGTCATGCTTGTGAAGCCCAAGAAAGGCAGACGATTTCTGGGTCTTACTAGAACAAACGCAATCAGACCTTCATGTAATTAATGCTTCTTGCTGGAGATGAGGGGCAGCCACTGGCAACTCGGGGGACAGTCCATCCTGGGGTGTTCTCAGTACCAGTGATCATCATTTAACTTCACTCAGCAAACATGAGGCTTCTGGATGTTGCTGTGGGCCAACCACCCCTTCTGTAAGATTCCCTAAGGCAGAAACACGCAAGGTCAATGGCAAAACCAGCGGGTTCCCTTCATCTCCAACTGGCCTTTCTCTTCACACTCCAGTGCAGAGCTGTCAAACTGAGCTAAACCTTTTGGCTCAGGTATGAGCTCTATAAGAACCATCTCCTTTCCCAAAGGTCCAAACACAATACTTGGCTTGCAACACTCTATGGAGTTCCTGGGTGGTGCAAATAGTTAATGCACTCAGCTTCAAAACAAAAGGTTAAAAGTTCAAATCCACCCAGACACATTTCAGGGGAAAAACATCTGGCAATATCTTCTTCCAAAAACTCAGCCACTTAGACTCTGACACGCATGATTCTTTTAAATACCATAAAATGCAGCACATAACTCTAAAACCTAACTCTCAGTCATCAAGGCAATTCAGACTTAAAGTGACCCTGTAGGACAAGGCAAAACCGCCCCTGTGGATTTCCAGGGCTGTAGATCTTTATGAGAAGAAATAGCCTCATCTTTCTCCCTCGGAGTGGCTGGTGGGTTCAAACTGCCGGCCTTGTGGTTAGCAGCCCATTGCATAACCCACTATGCCACCTGGGCTTTTTGGAGCGCCTGAAGACACTATGAAAAAAGATAAAAAGCAAAGGACTGGTTGTGCCCCCAAGAGGGCTTGACCGAAGTCAGTTCACTGTACTTACAGTAGGCAGAAAAATGGGAGAAGACCTGTAGCCATCTCAGACTTTTGAGCAGTGGCCTGTCTACTGGTAAAGTAGTAGAATCACTGTCTTAG